TCTTTTTGAGATGGGGTCTCCCTGTAGCCCCAGCTGTCCTGGAACTCACTATGTAGACCAGGCTGGCCTTGAACTCACAGAGATCCACCTGCCTCTGCCTCCCGAGTGCTGGGATTAAAGGTGTGCACCACCCACCACTCCCGGCTTGAATTTTTTGATTAAAAGAAATTTTAAGACTTTCAGGATTCCAAGTGGGCAAAGTATATCAAAGGTCTCTTAAGAAGTCGTTTACCAGTGTTCTTTCAATAGTGATTTCTGCTCTGCCCACTCATTCATTTAACTCTTGACTTTGTACTTCCCAGAAGAGTTGATGTGACTTCTCACAAAGGTCCAGATGTGTCCTTGAGAGTGTTGTCAAAAATAAAAAATATGCTGCATGTAGAGACATGCTACTTACTGATATGTAGTTGAAATTGCCAAGTCCAGAGACTGGACCTCAGGCACCCCATCTTTCTCAGTCGCCTTCGCAGGCCTAGAGATTAGTAAGGCAGCAAAGATCCCAGCTTGCTGCATAGGGTGCAGCAGTAAGAAGTCAGCAGTCAAGACACCCAATACTCCTAAATGCATGTACTTGAAAAAGAGTTGAAGACACAAACATTAATTTAGAAATGTGCAGAAGAGAGGAGTTGTTTCCGGGAGAGACAGACTCTGCTCTATTACTTCTGGCTTCCAGCAGAGAGTCAGTGTTGGGGAGTGATACTCAGAAAAGATACACCCATTTGCTCTTCAGTAAAGAAATGCTTCGTTAAATATCCAGGTATGTATGTCCTTGAATGAGCATTTCTACTTACATGTGGCAGTCAGCTTTCTATTGCTACGAAAAAAATCCCAGAGACGATCCCCTTACAGGAGGACGGATTTCTTTTGGCTTGTGGTTTCAGATGTCTGTTGGTAGCAAGGCAGAAAAGTATGGCAGGAGGGTGTGGCGGAGCCAAGCTGCTCCCCTCCTGACAGCCAGGAAAGGAGGGATGGAGGGGAGCTGGAGGAGATGCAAGGAGGGGCGGGGACAAGAAGCAGTTCTCAAGGACACACCCAGGACCACTCCCTCCAGCTGGGTTCTGCCACCTACAGTCCCCTCTTCCCTGTAGCCCTTCAGATTATGAAGCCACCAAGGATTCATACTGTTGAGATCAGAGGCCACATGAACCAGTGCTTCCCCAAAGCCCCAATTCCAGATCTTGTTGCACTGGGGACAAGATTTCAGTTCATCACCCTGTGGGGGAACATTTCAAATCCAAATCATAACCTGCTGCTGAACACAGATTTTACATGTAGGTGTGGACATTCTTGAGAAGCCGCCTCAAATATTCATGAATGAGTACATAAATAAAATGTGTGAATAAATGCATACATGTATGCATAGCCCTGCATGTGTGAAGGATGGTCTGGGGTCTGACAAGCATAAGCAACCAAGAACTCTCTGTTGTCTAGGGAGGAGTGGCGGCCAGGGAGTTAGGGAAATCCCAGTGCACACACTTTTTACCTTCTACTGTTCTCTCCTGTTAAAATTAAAGTCTATTTTATTTTTATATTGGTAAAAAAGCCCATGAAAGAATATGTCAAGTTGTAGGAGCATTTTCATTAGTATTTAAAACACGTAAATTTTGAAGGCTTAGCCTGTCTGTCTGGGCAATGGGGTTTTGAGAATAATTCAAATCCTTGTGAATGCTGCATGGTTGTTTTGTTTGGTAATGTGGTGATAATGGAAGGCATTGACGGACAGGCTGCTAACACGTGCTTTGGTGGTATGATAAATTGGTATATTATATGTAAGTTGAATGATGTGTTTTCTTTAGGCCATTGCAAGAAAATCCTGGCTTGGGTAGATGAGTTTGTTACTGCTTGGAGAGTTATGAGCATTGACTTTTCTTTTCTGAGGTTCTGCTAGTCAGCAGTGGAGTTCACAGCGTTTCTCTTCACTTTTGTAGGAAAGCTCAAGAGGAGAATAAGAAAGTAGTTCTGGCTGGTTGTGTCCCCCAAGCCCAGCCTCGGCAGGACTACCTCAAAGGACTGAGCATCATCGGGGTAGGTGCTGACCTGATGGGTCACTAGAGTCTCGTGTTGTTAACACCAGTTTCCACCTTCCTCTTCTAGTTCATTTGTGACTGCTGAGCTTGCTGTCTTTATTGTCTCTGAAACTTTGTCATGTCTGTGACTCCTTTACTTTACCACACACAAACGTTCAAAACCAAAACCAAGCCACATTGTGGGTTTTCTTGTTAAGAAAGAGACTAGCTCAAGAAAAAGCCACAGTGTGGGCCGTATGTCCATAATAACCTAGTTTTTGTACATGGCTGTCTCTCTCCAAAGTCTGAGCACACTGAGCTACCTGCTTGTCAGCCAAGTACAAACATGTCTGTTTTTCGAATGCCCCACTTGTGCTATACCCCAGCCCCCTCTTTCCAGGTCTCAGCTCCAGCACACCATGCTGTAGAGTCTTCTATTGCACTGAAGTTCTCCAGGATGCCCCCTCCGAGTCCCTCTGCTCATTGGCACCTGTTAGTGAGTCTAACTTAGCACAGTTAAGAGTAATTTAGGTTTAAGAAATGTGATTTCAGACTGACTTATGTGGTTACTTGAACAAAGCCCATGTCTTTATTTAAACCAGCCATATCAGGACAACTTCTTTAAACAACTCTGTCTCTGCAGCCTTCTCCACAGTGCCTGGCACAAGGGAGCACACTGTAAATAGGTTGGCCAACTTGACTGAACGAATTTTCCCATGGTAGTTTTGTTCTTACCGTCCTTCCTAACTGTCATGGTTGGCTCTGAGAGGAGATGGTCTGTTCTTTCTCAGTGTTGATGGGTGTCGTCTTCACAAAACCACCCCGCCACAGCTTAAACTCTAGGTTGCAACCCTACAGTCATGTAACTGAGTAGAATGGGGTGACCATTAAAGTTTGGCAATAATAAAGTTTCTGAATGTTCCACAACCAAAAATGAACTCTGATGAACATGTAGTCAGTCTGAGGTGTTTCTAATGAACGTGTAGTCCGTCTCAGATATTTCTGGAAGTGTTCCAGTGTTATTTTTGTGTTGCATCATGTGATTTCACACAGACTTGCTTCTGGACACACAACTTTGTGTTCTGCATGTTGTCAAGCCACACAGTGCCAATGAACACTGTGTCAAACACCTCAGCTCAGATTCCTGAGGACAACATTATGAACAGTACTCTGTTTACTGTGCATACAGTTTTGTGCTCTTACAGAAAGGCAGTGGTAGGGTTACAGAAAGCGAGGGCAGTATTTCTGTTATTCCTCAGCATCCATCAAATTAATACATCTCTGAGTTGTGTTGTATTAGGCAAACAAGCACATCCATCTCATGAGCATGCAAATTTACTTTCATTGAAAATAAATGGTAAAATT